TACTCAAATGTGGGCAGCCGCAGAAAATGAATAATTTTGATCCATAGTTCAGTAGCACAAGACGTTTGTTCCCATTTTGTGTGTTGATGACTTTATTTTTTTTGTTCTTATATTTTTTAATGCTTATGCTTCACCTCATTCGGAATAGAGAACATTAGCTATTATATTTGTCATATTTTCTATGCAGCGATTCTTATTTATTAAAGTTTGGTCTAGTTGGATCTGGTCTTAAATAAGTCCAAGTAAAAGTCTATGGATTTATTGAAATCCATAGAAGTCATTCGTTTTAAAAGTCCACGGATTTAAAAGTCTACGGATTTAAAAGTCAGCGGATTAAAAGTCTATGGATTTAAAAGTCCATAGACTTTTTAAGAAGTCCATAGACTTTTTTAGAAGTCCATGGATTAAAAAAAAGTCCACCACATGTTCAATACACCCCCCGAAGTATATTTCGGCGTACAATTCTTTTCACCTAAAACTTGGCAATTAGCATTACAACTCTCTTGCATTGCGCATTCAATTTGCTTGTTAAGTATAGATAGTTATTGTGACACATATACGTATACACAAATGCTATTTTTATTTAAAATTATACACTGATAATGAACACTTGAGAGAAGAATTATGGAAATGAAAATGAAATTACACATATTACAAAGATATGAGTATGTGTTTGCGTTTCCCATGTTCAAAAGAAACTACAGAGTATGTGTTTGCGTTTCCCATGTAAAACAAACTACAGATTATAACTACAAGTTTGAATTACACACGTCGGGTCATACATCGGTTCCCATGTATGTGTACAGACAATTGATTTTAATTTTAATAAAGAGAAGTGTCTGTGACCCCTAAAATAAGTTGTCTGTGTATAGACAATTCAGAGCCTGTGACCCCTAAAATAAGTTGTCTGTGTATAGACAATTCAGAATCATAGACACTTCTCTTTACTAAAATTAAAATCAATTGTCTGTACGAGTCAATTACAATTGAGCGTACGGCGTGTAAGCCACCGTGTACAAGTATCATTTTTAGTACTTTATTTATGACATTTACTATATTTAAAAGTAAGAGCTATTACCTTCCGTCTCAGTGGACTTCGCACTCTTTGAATTAGGTGAGGAATATGAAAAGTAAAAATTGTGTGGTCGAAGTTTGTGCAAACGAGAAAGAAATGAGCAGAAAGACAAAATATTTACTTCAATGAAACGAGAGAGTAATATTTATAACATTTACTAAAGAAATGTAAAGTTGATTTGGGTAAATTTATTTTTATGGAATGAGAATAAAGTAAAGAAAGTGAGAATCTGAAATTGGGAGGGAGAGAGTATATCACATGGTGAAATTTGGAAGCTATGAATTGAAGAGCAATAGCAGATTAGCAGTAGCAGCAGCAGGTAAAAGGAATGAATTGAAACACCCCATAAAAGCTAGCTAGCTCTCATCTTCTGGCCATCTGTTTGGTGCTGGCAGAACTTTGAGAAGGGGTATGTTTTCTTGGCTTCTGCATGGTCCAGCTGAAGCTAAACAGCCGCAGGAGGCTGCTGCGGGAACGCAGGAGGAAGATGAAGGCAATGGGCAGCACCATGTAGATGATGAAAACCCGAAACAGCATCTCGTTTGATTGCGACCCGACCCGGAAATAATGGGGCAGTGAGATTAAGAGGATGACAATGCAGAAAATCGATAGCAGTGGGAATGGCGGCGGCGGCGGCGTAGCCATGATCCCGCTGCCGCTCCATTGTTCTTCTCTTTGCTGCTGCGGAATCCAATCCATTTCCTATGTTTTTTTATTATCTTTCTTACTGTATTGCCTCTCTCCCTGCTTTCAAGTTTGATTGATCTTTTCTTATTCATTGGGTATATATATGCACACCCTAAATGTCACTCTACCTCTCAAATAAATAAAAAGAACCATGCTTGATGTACACACTCTTGTACACACTTTATATACACCATGTTGGTGAAGCTTTTATTTTTGTCTGTGAACATCGATTCACAGACAATGTTTTGCACAAACAAAATATTGTATAAGAGTGTGTACAAACATCATTTTTGAAATAAAGATGAGATAAGGGTCAATGAATTACCCGATTACACTTTTGACATTTCTAAGTACTTAAGTTTAGTTTTCGGTGTTAATGAGATATTACCCGAAATAGGATTAAAAGAGTTTGAGAATTCCAAAATAGGACTGTCATATTTTTATTCCCAAAATAGGACTAATTACTTCCATGTTTTGGCAGTATCAGACTTCAAACATTGCAGTATTTTCTAAACATGACAGTAATTAGTCCTATTTTGAGAATAAAAAACATGACAATCCTATTTTGAAATTTTGAAACTGTTTTAGTCCTATTTCAGGAACTTTCCCGGTGTTAATTGAGTACATCTGTTAGATTAACACATTGTTAATACGATTCAGTTGGCTAACGGGATGCTAAATGCTAATAGGTCGACTTCATGATGGTCGACACTAGCCCCCAGTTACTTGGTCAACTTTTCCTTGATCAATACCAGCCCCACGCAAGTCGACTTTCCCTTACTCGATGCCCCCTGCAGGGCGACACTCCCTGCACTCTCGCAGGTTGACCTTTGAAGGTCAACGCCAGAACCTTGGTCTTGTCGATTTCCCAATTTTTGATCGACTTCCTGAAGGTTAATGTCATAACCTTGATCAACTTCCCCCTAGTTGACTTTCACTTCTTACCCAGCATTCTGTTAGTCAACTCAGTCATATTAATGCGTTAATCTAACAGGTTTACTTAATTAACACTAAAACCGAGTTGATGTATGTAGGAATGTTAGATGAAATGTATTGTACTCTTTACTCCACTCCATACAATTTGGTGTACTCAATTGACCATTTCGTCGTCAATACATGAGTGTATTATACCTAGGATACTTTTGATTAGTTTAAATAATCATTTGATCATTTATTAATAATTAAATTATTCAATTGCATTATTCTGATTGACCCACATAAGCAATGTAAGGTACTTTGAAGGTACCGCAAAATTTGCCATAATATATCCCGTACAAACTGTGTGTACTCCCGAGGTTCGCGCAACGTGAAGACTTACTAATTAATTAAAAAAACTTTTTAAATGAGATTAAATGATTTGTTAAATTAAGCTCGAGGAACTACGATGTCATCAATGGGGAAACCCCCTAATTTCACCTCCAAAGTTACTCAAGACTTGATATAATATCAATATATTATGAGATGAGTTTGGTTCACAAATATACTACAAAAATGTTGGTACACATATTGTGTACACTATCCTTAATTGTCTGTCCACACAAACAATTCGTTAAAAAGCTGCTTTGTAGACATACAACTAGACATGGTGTACATATTTATGTGTAAAAACTATGTGTAATACAACAAGCATTGTTGAATGTACAATTGGTTCATACAATCAATATCTTGTACTCTTTTCGTCCCGTTGAAAGGTTTCCGTTTTTCATATTTGGATGTCTCATTTAAAGGTTTTCATTCTATTTTAGGAAATAATTTACGCTTTTTAATTACACTTTTACTCAAATTTCACAAATTCTCACAAATTTCAAGGTTTCCTACTTATCACATGTCAAGTCTCACAAATTCTCCTTGCCCAACTTACCTCCCTTTAATTACCTTCACTTTACATGTTTACTTTTTCTAAATTTTCTCTTTCCTCCCTTTACTGTTTTACATAACAACATAGGTTTTTGCCAAGATTATGTGAGAGGTCTTTAAGAAATGTTGCAAGGTCTTAGAAATGGAAGGTACTCCCTCCCTTTACGACTCACTTAGTACCTTATGCAGGGAACAAGCTAAGTGTAGCTTTAGTTTAGAATATATGCTATGATCGATATCCCAACCCTGTTACTTTCTTTTTGGGGTTGAACTAAAGTTCACTCCAGCAGATGATACCTTTACCAAATTAATAATTGGTTCCCAAAAAGATGATTGAATGAGGTTATTATACGATCTGAAAGGAAAGAATGACGTCAGTCTATGGGGTTGCTACAAAATTTTCATGTTACCACCCCACCTAGTCCTGGACTCAGTTCGGGCCACCCGGCCCGGGAACCGGCCCGGCCCGCTACTGTGCGGGACCGGCCCGACCCGGTTCTTCAGGCCCAAAACCGGTCTAAGGCCCGGTTATTTAGGCTGAGCGGGGCAGGCTCGGGTTGGTAAAAAGGAGGCCCGGCCCGGCCCGGGCCTGGTTCGAGCCAAATTGATTTTTTTTTTGTTTTTTCACTTTTTTTGGGCTCCACCCGGGTTGGGCTTGATGTTTAGGAGGGGTTTGGGGGTGGGGTGAGGGGGGTCAGGGATAGGTAGGTAAGCAAAAAAAAATAACCAAGCCCGAGGCCCGGCCCAGCCTGAACCCGGTGGCTACCCGGGCCGGTCCCGGGTTCACCTATTCAGAACCGCCGGCCTGCCCGGGCCTAGGCCCGACCCGGACTCGGCTCGACCCAAATCCACCCCTAACCCCACCACATGCCTCTATCTACTCTTAATAATTAGTGAAGCTGGAAAATGCATTTAATTTGTTAAAATCTCACTTTTGTAATTTAATTTTTTAATAGTAGTATATTTACTCAACACTTTCTTTATCTCCACACAAAAAAACACTTTCTTTATCCATCTGTTTCATTTTATATGCCGCACTTGCAACCCATCAGTCATGCATACTGTCTCATCTTACTTATTTAGATTTCAATATTTTTTGGAACTAAATATGATCCTTTTCTTATAAAGTTTAGCGTGCCTTTTAAATTCACTAATCTATTTAATTGTATAGGTGAATCTATTTATTTAATTAATTAATATTCTTTGTCCCTTGTGCTTCTCTCCTAGTTTAATTTTAAGTGATTTTCAAAAATTGTAATTAATATTCTTAGTGTCCCTTACATTTTCGACTCATACGGTAATGGCATATTTAATTATAAAATGATATTTAGAACACCAAAAACAAAGATATTAACCATGAACAGTCAACCTAAAAGGCGGCTAACGAACAAAATAAAATAGTGTACATTTTACTTTTAAAGATCATAATAAAACACTTTACTTTTGATTTTATCTAATAAATCAGAATGAGAGACACCCGAACACAATAGTCTATAGATGGAGTACATGATACTCGACGCTCAACATCATAACCTCTAAAACTTATCATTTCATGCTCCAAACTCACAACCAAAATAAAATGCCATAAAATGCGCAGTTAAGAATGTTATCAAATCTCATCCCTGAGGCCTAATCTCTTCTCCGTGTGTAAGTAAACAGAAGTGTCACATTATACAATAGTACAATACACAACAGAGCAATTACATGCCATCACTCTGGCCCTAAAGCCTTATTCAAGTTTACATTATGAAACATGAGCAGTTCTATCAAAATTTCTCCAGGCCATTTATTTGCTATCTTACCACCAAAACCAAATCGAGTAACAATAATCAAGCAGTGACCTTTTTGGAAGTAACAGAGTTAACAATGGATGCAAACTCGGGACCCTGTAATGCAGGAAACACAAGCAACGAATTAGTATTGCTGCTCCATTTTTGGAGATGGTGGAGTTTTAGCAAATACCTTTAGGGACGCGCCTCCTACTAGAAATCCATCAATGTCATCTTTCTTTGCAAGTTCGGAACTGTTGCTTCCATTCACAGAACCTGAAAACAGCTAACTCCTTTTGTAAAATAGAGTGACTTCACTAAATTCCTCAGCAAAAACCAACTTTGGTTTGTGTGTGGACTGAAAATCTAAAAGGCAAGTACCTCCATAGATGATACGTGTTTTTGAAGCAACTTCTGGTGAGACATTCTTACTAAGCCAATCACGAATAGCTGCATGCACTTCCTGAGCCTGCTCAGGTGTGGCCACTTTGCCAGTTCCAATTGCCCATACAGGCTCGTACGCAATGACCACATTATCCCAACTTGGTAAAGCGTCTGCACATTGTTATTGGACTTATAAGTCTATAATACCATCTGCCATGTGTCACCAAACTAATTGATAAGCAGCAAAACTTTGACTAAAAACATGTCTACACAATTGAGGCAAGCTTAAGGGGTAAGGATGGCATATAAAAAACATAAATATTTAAGCTCAAAGTAAATTACCCTGTAATTTACTAAGACAGTGTTTGCGTTTGCTTGTACTTTGACTCTTTGAGAAGTGGTTTTTCTAGTGATTATAGGATTTAAGTTCTAAATGGTAGATACCGGTAGTGTTTTGAAAGAAAAAAAATGATTTTTAAAAAGTAGAAGTCAGGGGTTTTGGTAAAAAAAGGGGTACATTAGATGATGAAATATTACAATTAAAAAAGTGATAAACAGCTTTACACACCCTTCCCTTGATTTATGCTTTTAGCTTCAAAGAACTTAAAGTTATGCAGATGCACCAAGTTAAAATAACTATATTTGTTTTTGTAACCAAAGCACAGAAGTGCTTTCCAGAAGCAACAGAAAACACTCCTAAGTTTAACCTGCAAAAGCCTTCAATTGTTGGAAACAAACATCAAATGTGTTTCCTGCCTCTCTTTCTTCTAGAAGTTCCCCAATGCAGGCTATAACTCCAATACCCAGGCCCAATGCGTGAGCAGCCTTCTTTCCTATAAACTGTATGATAAGTCAAGCCAAAGGATCATAAGATAATTGCAAAGGCGTGACAACATTCATTTTATATCTGAATCATCATCAACAACAACATCCAAGCCTTATTCCCAAAAGATTTTGGGGTCGGCTAACAAGAATCGATTCAGGGTCATATCAGAGCCAAAGAAGGAGAAGAAAGATAAGAAGAATAAATAGATAAAGTAAGATAAAATGGATAAGATATAATAAATATAAGATAAAAAGAACATAAGAAAGATAAAAGAGCATAAGAAAGATAAAAGATAAAAGTAACACAAGAACATAGAAAGATAAAATTTGGGAATACGAGTTTAAAATTCATACTTCATCTTTTTCTCCAATAATATGTCTCCTCTCGGAATGACCAAGAATGACCCAATTGCATCCAATATCTTTCAATTGTTCAGCACTGCAAATGGAGATGACACATACTATGTAAGAAACTAATCCTTTCCATAAATAAGACCCTTGAACTCAAACCACTGTAGACTGGTGCTGACCACAAATGTGCTACAAATTTATGCAAAAAATCACTACCAAAGATTTACACTGGATCCTCCTCTTGTCTCAACCTTCTAACAAAGGAAACAAGATGAAATCTTGAAGCTGTTATATGAGAAAGGGATTTTTTTACTAAAAGGGCTCATATAAAAATTAGAACCCTCTTGTTATTTTTAATGAAAGCATTCAGTGAAGTAGGCAATGTTGTTGCTTCACCTGATTTCTCCTGTAAAAGCTCCACCCTTTCCAATCCAACAGTTTTGAGCAGAAATCTCAATCCGATCAGTTAAATTGCTCTTTACTTGCTCAATATACAGAAAAGGAGGCGCCACCACAACATCTGTAAATTTCAAAGGATAGAAATTCTGATATATACTTGAAAAATAATAATTACTAGAGGTAACTTTGATTCTTTAATTTTTTATTTAGATATTCAAATTAGAGCAGCCATAGACATTATACCATCAACACGCATCCCTGGTACATCATATAAGGATATACATAGTACGTAGTATATTTTAAGTTACACCTAATTGAAAAACTGAAAGAAAGGATGAAACCAACCAACATCAGGCTCTAGCTTTGAGCTGTTCAGGTCAGAGATTAGCTTGGTTATGGACTCCTTTGTTCCGTTCTGTACAAAATGTCAAAGAAAAAGAAACAGACAACAAAACAAGTTGAGTACAGTACACTAAGCATACCAAATGAAGAAAGAAGTGGGTGTAGTAACTCTTCCACTAAAAATGTATTGGATTACAATAACCCAATACATTATATCCTGCCAAACTACATTTAAAAGCTCTAACAGTAACCCAAATGGGCAATAAATAGAGCACACCATAAACTGGACTTTTGGGTATGAAGACTATCTGACTATGACATACTTTGTAAAATAGAGAAATAGATAATACTTACACATTTCCAATTCCCGCCAACAAAAAACTGCAAGTGAAAAGCACAGACACAATTAGTTCAGCAGTAAATAATAGCAAACCAGGTACTCCTCCCATCCAAAATTTATTGTCCCTTTCATGATTCATGAGGTCAAGCTGATTCTTTTTTATTATCTAATTTTGTGTATCAAACTTTATCATATTCAAGCTTGGTTTTAGAAGTTCAATAGAACTTTTAGTGTAGTTTCTAAACATGTAAATTTTGATCGTTAATAATGGGACACAAAATTGAGACGGATGGACTATGGAGTAGCGAGTCTAGCAACGAATAATGCCAAAAATAGGAAAAAATTATCATAGAATCCCATGCTACTGAGTGGTAATTTACATAAACTGCTCCCTGTATGATAATTTACCTATAACAAAGTCTAGTTGAGTAAGCATAAAGTATGTGTGTTTAACAATTTGCATTTCTCCATTTCTAATTATGATGATATATAAAGGACGGAGCCCAGACTTCTGTTTAGGGTGGGAGCGAAATTTGTTTTTCACAAATTGATCAGGTGCACAATTAATGACTAAAACACTATGAAAACAATTAATTAGTTACCTAGAATATTTTCTATCTCATAAGAAGAGTCCTACAATTTAAAAATTGTGTGCACAAAAAGAGTTTTGTTTGGTAGAATGTAGACAGTTTCCCAGAAATCTACAAAGGAAATAGAGTAAAAAAGTCTAATATATTTGTAGTTAAATATAAAAAAAGTTTTGAAATTATAAGTATCATTTCTGATGCATGAGTTGTATCTCGTCAACAATACAAAAAACTAATTGCTCAAAGTGACTAGTTGTTGTAGGATGAGAGGAGATTATATACTGAATATTACTCCATATTTAAATAGGTTTAAAACATAAAACATTTCCTCAAATATTTTTATTTTTTCCAGAAAATGAAAATATGACTCCTTTTAACTACTTTTATTTGAACTGGTATTTTAGATATTTTTCTAGACTTCGAAAGTTAGAACTTAGAAGCGGCGGAGCTAGGTCAAAGTGCCTAGGGTTTTGTGCGCCGTTTTCTTCGGCGATTGAATTTGCAGGAAGAATCGATTGTTTTTCTGGTTGCTTAGGGTTTGATTGGGTGCAAGAGGTTTTCTTCTTCCTCTGAAGGAGGCAGAGGCGACTAGCAGGATATGGAGCGGTATTGTTTAAGCGTAGGGATGGAGAGCCTAGTTATGTATGGTTTGTTTTTTATGCTTCTTCTCAATTCCTTATGATATAGGTATTCCTTCGATCCTAGATCTATCATTATCAAAAAGTATCATGAAGTCCCTCTTGCCTATGGTTGTACTGATTACTCATCCCCTCCTGAACCATCGCCTCAGAGTGGAAGGGTTGCTTGGAGCTGGAAGGTTGTTCTTAACTTTCATCAAACTGACGAATACAAGATTGGAATTAGAGCCGTTAGTGTTCAGTCTAGAGGAACAGATTAAAGGACCTGTGGATTCAGTCAGTAGTCTCATGAAGGCAAGCTAATGGTTTTCAGAGGAGGGGCTCCAAGATGAAGTTTAGCTAGTTGCAGTTCTTTACTATAATTTCAGATGATCATAGCAATTTTTATATTTATTATGTTAGACATTTACTTTGTTTTTTGGTGTGGGTTTGTGTCAATCTTTTGGGAATAAGGTTTCGATGTTGTTGGGTGTTGTTGTTGTAGAGGTATTGATGCTTTTTGGGCTGAATCAATCTTCAAAGCTCTCACATGTTTAGCGAATCGATCTACTCAGTTCAGGGCGATCTTTTCTTTGTCGAACCTTGCTTTGAATCTTATCCTTGGTGCATCTTGTAACGAATGAATTCAGCAAAATGATTTAAGTCAGCAAAATATTTACCTCCACTTTGGATATCATTTAGTTAATCAGTTCAGCAGGAAGCTAGTAATATTTAGTTGCAAGTAAGTTTACCTCTACTGGCATACTGCAAGTAATTTGAAGAAAAAATTATACTATTCAATTGGCTTTAGGACACTCATCATTTATCTAAGCTTAAAGCAGTTATCGAGTTTAGAATAAGATTTGTGAGAATACATACATGATATAAATGCACACGTGATCTGCGAATTCATATAACTGTGTAGTCCAGGTGCCAAAATGCAGGAAAAACAATAATAGTAAAGAGGTAAAGAATAAATAAACCCTTGAATTTAATGAGAGATAACATGTATACTCTTCAGTTTTTTGGAACAATCAAACCAATAAATTGTAGTTAAAATACAGGTTGCCTGTTGAACATCAAAGGTATATTTTTTCTAATGCTCCGGTATAAATTCAGGACATGCTTTCTCTAACTTTACAAATTTTGTGTTCCATTGTTCTAAAAAAGGAGTAAATGTATTCTCGAATACGGCGTATATAATTCAAGTTTATATTTGTTCTAACTCTTTTTCTCCCTTTCATCTTCTCCCAAAAAAATGTAATAAGGAAAAAAAACCTTTCCAGAGCCGGCCATGGCTACGACGGATCGGGAGCCTTTACTAGAATGCGAGAGGTGGACATGAGAGTCGGCGGCGGGGAACGATTGAGTAGCTGAGAGAGTGGCCAAAGCGGGAATAGATCGGCGAATGAGAGTGGTGGGGCAGGAGAGTTGAGTAGCAAGAGACGCCGCCGCCATCACCGGAAAACTAAGGTTGGAGCAACGTCAGAAGTTGAGTGGTCTTGATGAAGTCGCCACGGATTGAGTTTTGTCTATCGGCTTCAATTGCAACAACCAAAAGCTCCGGGGTAGACTAAAAAACATGTAAAATGATAAAAACCCTGGCATGTACTCATTTTTACCTTAATGTGTGTTAATAAATGGAGTGCGGTCCACTTAAATGAGTTACCCCATTTATAAAAAAAAGGATGATATCCCATCCCTTAGGACCTTTCAAACCTTAAGCGGACGGTACGTTGGAAGAATGTAAGTTGAACTATAATCACAATCTGACAGATAGAGAGTGCGACTCTTTTCCCGATACTTGCAGAGGTCATATGCATTTTAAGCATAATAACCTCTCATCGCAGTCGCCGGGATTCGAACCCGGGACCTAACCCTTGTGTCACTCCCTCGTTATCAGTTGAGCTACGCCCACCGGAAAGTTGCTCCATTTATGACCACACATCAGGGTGTGTGGTAAAAATAGGTACTCCGTACCATTTTTGGGGTACCTTTAGCATAGCTCAAAAAACATATACCCATTTGAGTTCTGTTTTTGTTTTCCATTTCTATTTTTCCGTTTTCGAACACACATTTTTCCAAATTTCTTTTGTTTTCAATTTCATTTTTCAAAACCATGAAGTAAATATAATGCATCAAGGAATTGAAAGCTCATTGAACCGAATGCGGACAAAATGAGAAATATTATGTGACATCGTTAAAAATTGACATGTGTGCAATTAGAGGCTACATGTGAAAAAACAAATACTACGTGCATGTATAGGAACCGCGATTCTGGTGGGCTAATACCGATTCATGTTGAGGTAGGGTCGAGTTCAATTTTTTAAAATTTGTAAGGGGGCAGGGCGGTTATTATAATGTTTAGGGAAAAAAAGTAGATTATTTTTTTGAAAAATAATTTAAATACTTCAAATTTTTAGTGAATGTGAGATAAACACTCTAAATCTGCATTGTAATAAAAAGGACTGTTCTTGATGTACACATAAGTTGTACACATTCTGTGTACACCCTTCTAGTTGTTTGTGTATATAGGCAGTTTCTAAACGACCTGCATGTGTACACATGTAACCGTGAGGGTGTACACAAATTGTATACATTTATGTATACCAATAGTTTTTTCGTAATAAAAATATTCTAAATTTTGTATAAAAAATTATCTCAGCATCATCGTAATATGTTTTTTCTTTCGATAAATGTAAATTTATAGTGTTGAAATATAAAAAATAAAAAAACAATGGGCAAGGATGAAATTATTAATGTTTCTCCCTCGCTCTAAACGACTAAACGTAGGGTTTTGGATTCCCGCCGCGTGAGTGTGTGGCTAGTTTGGGCCTATTAAAGGTTTGAATAGAGCTTGCGACGGAAAGGAGGATGGAATGTTGGGTGTCATTTTTTCTTTCCTTCTGGATGACGGAGGAGGCATATTTCATTGGGAATTTGGCGTGCGACAAAGTGCGAGCCAAAGCATACAAGAGAGAAGGGCCAATGTTGCTGAAAATAATGGACGAATGTAGAGGCGGCATGGGCGACGAGCGGATGGAGAGCGGTGAAGGGTTAAACAAGGGAGAAGACAGATTGATGGAGCACCCCCTCCTTCCTGAACCACCGCCTTGGAGTGATCGAGGTGCTAGGGTTGGGACGGTGATGTTTCAAGAAAACCGGTTGGAAGGAATTTGGAGCTTTTATAAGTTATTTTATTTTCTTATGGTCTTATTTACACGTTTTGTTTGTTTACGTTGCTTTGTTTTTGTTGGTGTCTATAGTTTTAGGTCTACAATAATAATTCACAATTCTGGTAGCTATTATGTCGTTAGAAGGATCTATATGAACAGTGATTGTTGTGTCACATCCATTTGATGATTAGCGATTTGTATTGCTCTTTCATGGATGATTGTTTCTAAGTCTGGTCGTAAGGGTTGATAGTGATGGTTGATTGTGGATAGTTGTTGTCATTGTTTGTCTCTTTGAACTTGATGTAACAGTCTGAATCCTAATGATATTAATATAAGCAGGTTGCCCTTTCAAAAAAAGGAATGAAATTATTAATCTAAACTTCAATATTTGAAATAAATAATATCAACAAATAAGTTTATATCATTAATTGCACACTCAAAAATGCTTAAAATATTTATATTATTAGGTTAAAACTAAAAATTTACATTTGTAAAAGAAAATATATGATCAGTTAAAATACATTTTTACCTAAGATTTGAATAAGAGCATGTTTGGTAACACTGAAATCGGCTGATTCTGGTGAAATTTGTGAAGTTCTAACTGAAGTGGTTGTATTGGCTGATTATGGTGATTTATGAAAAAATTATATTTAAAATATATTTTAGTAATAAAATAAAGAAAAAAATATGTGAAGAATAACTAAATTAGTCATCTACAGTAATTTCAGTTAATACAGCCAGAAAGTAACTTCAACCTTACTTTTTATTATTATTACATAATTCAGCGAGCAAAATCAGTATTTATGTGTTTAGTTAAAAAGTTGGCTGATAAGCTAAAAATGACATGTACGGAGTATAATATTAATAGAGTTTTCTCGGACAAAAATATAAGTAGTTATGCTTTTGGACAAAAATACGACTTATCACTATGTACGAGCCACCGCGAACTAATCAATACAATGTATTTTAGAATGACAATTCACTGTAGATGCCGAGTTAGTGTGAACTACTCACTAAATATGTCACTTTTTACTAAAATTTTAAAACAAGTCATATTGAATTTAATATAGTAATATTCATACGAAAAGGTCAAAAATAGAATAACTAAATTACAAACCCTAATTATATTAGATGTGTTGGGGGCACATCTAGGTATGTGTATTAAAAGTTTAGGTATCAACATAGTACGTACTATTAAGAGCCCGTTTGGTAACACTGTTGATGGATAGCGTACCCGGGGGTAGTTTATTCGAGGGGTTATTACGGGAATAACTTAGAGAGAAGTCAGAGCAATAAGAGAGAGAGAGTAAGTATTCGAATAAGGAATGTTGTGTTGCTTTACATTGGAGAACGGGCTGCTATTTATAGCAGCAGTAAATGCTAGATAAGGACATGTGTCAATAATCTGGCGGTGGAGGGGTCACGTCAACCGGGGTGGCACTGGCATACGCATGTGCACCACATTAAATGCGGTGGGCGGATGTGACGCCGCATTAAATGCGGTTGTTGCTTGTCTCTAAAGGGAATCTCCGATGTTTGTACATGGCCGAGGGCTATGTAGCCGAGGGCTATGTAGCCGAGGGCTACCTAGTAGCCGAAGGCTTCTGATTTCGCCGCTTTCTCCTAGTAGCTCTGTATGTAGAAGATCGACTGTTTCCTGGAGTTTGGAGCCCTCGGCTAGGGGCCGGAGGTACCCGTAGGTGCACCGTGGGCTTCTCGGCACTTGGGCCGCTGTGATTTGGGCCTCTTGTGCTCTCTGTGCCTGTTGGGTCTGTGTTAGAGTAGCAGGAGTCTGTGGGTCGGGGTCCCTGGGCCATATACTCCATCAGGAGTCTCTCACTCCTTTTGCCGAAAGGTACTTGAGGGAAAAGGAGTAATTTGCGTTTTTCCTCTGGTGTTGGCGTTTGTAGTTTGTAAAGTAGTGAGGGGTTTGTGTTGCGTGATTTTCCGAGGGCAGTCTCTCAGTCCCCCCCTATTTTGGGATTGAAGGATCATGTTAATAAGCTTTTAACATTTTTTGTTTTCCCGAAGGGGTTCTCCAGTCCCCCACTCCTTGGGGTACATGTAATGTGGTGAAAAGGAGTAAAGCAGTGCCTGTTCTCAGCATAGGGCCGAGGGCTGAACCTTTTCGTTTCATTTTGGGGGGTGTCTCGTTAAAACCCTCATTAGGAAAAACCTTGCGGGAAAAAATCCTAACGAGGGAAAAAGAGTGCACCGGGTTCCCCCAATGATGAATCGAAAAGGTTGTCCTTTGATCTAAGTATAATGTTGAGGTCGGGGGCTGTCCGCGATCTAAGGGCTTCTTTGTTGATTACCTGAAGGCTACTTGTGATGACCCGAGCGGGTAATTGCCGAGAACATTCCCCTAAAGATGTCCGTAGTTGATAAGCATGAGTGCATATTCCGGGGACACCGAGGGGATGAATGCCAGTGATTGTTCCTATGTTGCCGAGGGGGGCTCTTTGGTTTTCATGAGGGCTAAGGGCTCCCTAGGGGTTCCCTGATCTTACACAGGGGATTTGCCTTTGAGGAGGGGGTCTGAATGCGTTCTCTGAGGGCTGACTATGTTTGTTGTTTTGCCCAAAGGGTGCCAGCTGAAGGCATCGTTGCGAGGTGACCGTTTGAAATATAGCCGTTGGGATATGACCGTTGGAGATATAACCGTTGGAATATGACCATTGCAGGTGGGGTCCACGTGGCGTGCTCCCGTTGGTTGTCCCGGGCGGGTGTCACCGGTTGGCTGAGGCGGCGGTCTATAATGATGGTTTTTGCAATCGGGGCCCAATTCTTGGCCCAGGCCCAAAGTGGGGAGTCTATAAATACCCAAGGCCTGACCTCATTTCCCTTTACGCATTCTTGTTATAGCGAAGCTCTGGCAAATTTTTCAGAGAGATAAGCTGTTTCCTAAGTAATACTCGTAGCTTTAATTTTCCTAGATAAGCCCAATTCTTCGCTGCTTAATGTAAGTAATACTCGTAGCTTTAATTTTAGGATTTGTAATGCTTGTTTCTCGAAGTGTAAATTTTGATTAGCGCCTGATATTTTGATGGCCATTAGTATTTCTAATGTTCATATGTTATTTACGTTTGTCAGTTAATTAATACAAAGAGGGGTTTCTTTATAGGCTTGTCAAAAATTAAAAATGTCAATTACACAGTTTACACTTAGCATTGAAATCTAAAAAAAGGCAAGAATCACTAGTTGAACTACTATTATTATTGTTGGTAAAATTTATTGTTTGAAGTAACTGGGAAAAATATAACATAAAGTGTAAATAAATGTTTAACTCTAATAGTGTGTTTTTTTCAGAATGTGGGAAACGGTAGACTTAATTGTACACTATGGTGGGAATCTTAAAGCATGCTCTCCTATGAGGTATAGTAATGAGAGGCTAAAGGTAATCCAAAGTGACCCTGATGTTATATCTTACCCACACTTGAAAAAGTATTTGGAGTTAGGACCATTCGGATGCGTCAAAAAGATGTTGTGTAAATTGTCGAGTGAACCCTTAGAATGTTTAAGGGAGCTGGTGGATGATGCAAGCACTTTGGACCTGGTCAGTTTGTCTTCCAAAGTGATGTATATGTGGTGCACGGAAAGGAGGATTCTTCAATTGGTGCTGAATTTTGTAGCAAAGAGGTAGCACATATGACTGATGTAGAGGTACTGCATGGCATGAATAACACAATAAGAAAAAACATTTTCTTTCACACGAATGAATCAATGAGGGTTAGAGCTAAGTGCATTCAAGATAATTATCCGCTTTCCTGTTATGCAAGCTGGGAAGATCGGTTCAAATGCTTCTAGATTAAAAGTATGGTAAGCAGTCACAAATGCAACTCAAAGTTCAAGTTAAGAGTGGTAAGCCAAAAATGATTGGAGGATAAGTACGAGGACAAGGTTAGAGGACTCATGTATTGAATATGTTGCCTTAAAAGAGCACATACTCTCAGAACTGGGTATTCATGTCTCCACCACCATGGTAAGGAGGGCAGTTAGAAGCATTAAGAAGAAAATAAATGGGAGCTTTGATGAATAGTTCAATAGGCTTAGAGAATATGCTCAAGAGTGTCTTCAATCTATTCGTGACAGTACAATAAAGATTCAGACTTGCAGAACAGTGTCCTGTAGCCCATGTCTCTTCCAAGGTACTCCCTCCGTCCCTCAATTAAGTTACGTATTTGACTTCACACATATTAAGAAAATAAATTTACTGGGGGATAAATTTTACTGTTTTGACACTGTTTGACACGGTTTTGCACTGTTTAGACACTGTTTTGTACTGTTTGACACTATTTTGATGTAGATAATTTTCCAAATAAAGAAAGTAAGGAAGTGTGAACTTAATTTAGGGACTGCCCAAAAAGGAAAGTGGTAACTTAATTGCGGGACGAAGGGAGTATATACTTTTGTTTTGGTGCGATGAAAAGGGGCTTCTTAGATGGATGTAGAATGGTGATAAGGTTAGGCAGATGCTTTTTAAAGGAGCTTTTAAAGGGAGAGATCCTGACAGCTAATGGAGAGCGTCAGACGGGTTTGGGTTGGACGGGTTGAGATTTGGTAAACCCGTTCGGTTATCAGATTTGTAATTGGAAACTCTACCCTATCAAAAAAAATACCGGACTATTCAGGTTGCACAAAATCGGTTTCCGATCGAGTTGAATCGGTTTTCGGGGCCATTCAAGTTGTTATGTACTTATGTTGAAATTGTGAGAAATAAAGTGGTAAGTGATTAAAAACGATTAAAAGTCATAACATTATAGCATTCAAAGTAAAAGTTTGTACAAATATAGTAATAGACATTTTAGCATGCATAATATTATACCAAAAATTACATAATAGGATGAATAGCAGTAACTGCAAATATGCAGTATAGCAAGAGAGCAAGAGTGATAAGTCCCAGTTCCAAAATCCAAATACACAAATACATAATGCAGTTCCATAATAGTAAACAAAAACATAAAGAAAGTGGCAACCGGCAATTGGCAAATTTTAACAACATTCAACTTCAAGCGTTTAGATCTAGTTTCATGTTTCCCGGTTCCATCTTGGAGAGTTGGAGCATACCAGCTAGCCGCAACCACTTAATAGATCATTGTATTTGTTCCTATGTGCATGAAAAGGAAAAATATAAGTTTCATGAAAATACAAAGACTTAACTATTGGGACTTGGGAGCTATCAAAATTCAAAACTATATAGAATGAGATTTGGCTCAGATTTTGTTTCACCTCACAAAGAATGGGGGCATAAAAAACTATATAGAAATAGAATCAACATCAACCCATCAATTTCATTTTTGGTGGAAGCTATCATCATTGCCAAAATACTCAAACAATTAATGTAATA